CTTTCCTGAGAACTAGATGCAGACAGAATATTATATTTAAATTCTATGTTGTCCAAAAGTGAGGCAAGGTTTGAACGAGTTCAGTTGGACAAATAAAGAAAGCAGCACAGTGGTAAAAGTTTTCCTTTCCAAATTATTTTCTGCACTGACCTCGTTCTTCCAAATCCCAATCCCTGAGTAGTCAGGACAAAAAAGAGACATACCAGTAATCAATGCTGAGTACTTTATGCAACATCAAAATGCAGACAAAAGTTATATACAGGCATTCCTCGCATCCTCTGCAAAGCATGTACAACCCACGACTTTGACATAAACCCGTTTTTTATAGAAAGTGACAACTCTGTGTATTGAGTGTTTACCGTGTGTCAGGCTTTGTGCCAAATGCTTACACTTGCCATGTCATCTAATCTTCACCCATTATCTCTAGTTTACAGACAGGAAAGCAAAGAAACCAACACAGCTAAGGCCACACAGCTAGTCCTTGATAGCCTGAGGCTAAACACTTTACCATTATATTAATTAAAGTACTGAAGAGATAAACTCTAGGAATCCAGTGGCAAAATCTCATGTAAAACAAAGTTAATAATAACTACAGCATATCCTTGAATAACCTCGTTTTATTCAGAGTTGTTTCGTTACAACTTTGGGGTTTTTTTTTAAATATTCACCCAAAGGAGAGGGAGAAACATCCACTAGTTGCCTCCTGTTATGTGACCTGAACAGGAATTGAACCCACAACCCTTCGGTGCATGGGACAATGCTCCGACTAACTGAGCCATACCAGCCAGGGTTTATTACAACTTTGATGAGATGCCACAGGAAACTAATTCTTGTTTGTATCAATTAGCCTACGGTTTCATTATACAGTTTTGCTTAAAGTTGCAGAATCTACTAAGGATGTTAAATGAGGACTTACTGTACTTAGTTTATCGGTTCAGGCAATTAAAATTTTGCATTATAACAGGTTTCTCAATCACAGACTACCAATTATTGGAAGACACATTTGCTACTCAGGGCTCCAAATGTAAACAAATTTCATGAAGAGAGATCATCTTTAACCCTCTGGTTTGCTAAAAGGCTAACATAAATATTGTTTTGTTGAGCACAGATAGATGACGAAAACAGTCTCTTTAGACGTATAATTTATACCCAGATAAGATGACAGACCTGTAGGAGAATAATTACAATGCAGTATCAAAAGGAGAGTAAAGCACCTGTAGACACACAAGCAATGAGGAGGCCCACTGTTATGTTGGGAGGAGGGATAAAAAGGGGAGAAGAGAATAGGAAAGGGGGAAAAACTCAGAGAATAATGAAATCTTCTTTGGCATAGACAGCTCCCACACAGATTAAGAAAACAGAATGGAAATGGAAAGGAGGAAGAGAAACTTTCCAGAAAGAAAAGCAAGCATAGAAAGGCTGAATTTGCATGCTGAGCTGCTGAAATGGCAATAACGTTTCATCAGAAAGACTGGAGAACCTGAAAGCCAAGCTGTGGAAAGTTTGTCCCAGCCAAACTCAGGACTTTGGACTTCATCTCATGAGGCAATGGGCATCCACAGACCCCACGTGTGGATCTTGGCTATGCTCTGATCACTCTCCTAAGTGCTACTTCTCACACTGTAATAAAGCTGGCTCTCAGTGCGAGAAAAGCAGCTCTTTCATAATTTTTTATGGTGTGTTCAGAGCTAAATGCACTCAACCAATAACAATGAAAAACAACTACACCAAATTCTCAAAATATGTTTATCAAAAGGTTAATACTTAGTATTTTCCACACTGATTTCCAATCTTAAAGTAGATGAGCCTTTGAAACCCTAGGCCCAAATTCAACTAAAATAGGTAACACCTGTTTTCTCCTTTTCCAAAGCTTTGAAACATGGTCACAACGATGACTGACATAGCACAAAAACAGCCCTTTATCTAAGGGGACTAACATGGAGCCCCTGCAAGTCCCCAGCTCTTCCATTCTGTTACCCAAGAGTGCAAGCAAAGACTTGGAAGGCGGTGGGGAGGAGTGATCAGCAAGGAATAAGGGACTGCCAGGGAGGATGGCGCTGCCCTGCTGCCACATTCATCACAATCACACGTGGGCATCCTCTGGCTCTGGAGCTTGCCACAGTGTCCTGAAGACCTAGGACAACATGCAAAGTCTTTCTTCTGAACGCCAAGTGTTTGTCTCATGCTCCTCTGAAATCCTTATTCAACCTCACAAAGGATATGTCAGTGTTAACCTCTACCCACCTGCATCGTGCAAAGAGACACCAAAGACAAAGGTTCTATCTGGTTTATATGGCCGAGGGTGAAGAGACTAGAGTTCAACAAACTGCACTCCTACATACTGAACAGATCAGCCCAGTGGTGTGGCTCAGTGGTTAAGCGTCAACCCATGCACCCAGAGGTCGCTGGTTTGATTCCTGGTCAGGACACATGCCCAGATTGTGGGCCTGGGGGCATGCAGGAGGTGGCCAATCGATGTTCTCTCTCATCGATGTTTCGCTTTTTCTCTCCCTTTCCCTTCCTCTCTCTCTAAAATCAATACAGAAAAATTTAAAAAAAAAAAAACTGAACAGATTACCCATCAAGTCAAACTCAATCTCACTTATGCACCAAATTTATGTCCTGCCCTTTAACAACCCAGTTCTTTTCATACTTTTCTACTGAAGAACCTCTAATATCAGAGAAGTATAAACTCCATCTCCTTATGGGAGCAGAGTCTGGGCATGCTGAATTTTAAATCCATGCAAATTCTTATATTCCTCCACAATAGACGCCTATATTGTACTGTTTACTTGCATAATACTTTAATACATGAATACACACATGTATGCATCTTCTCCCTGAAGTAAAATTCATATTCCCGAAAGCCACATTATGTTTATGTGTGGTTTTACATATCTATAGGACTATACCAAGCTCAGATGAGGAACCAAGAATAAATCAAACGATAAGAATCAAATTCTTATATTTTAAGAATTAAAACTACCATTGAAGCATAATAAATACATAATCTAAGATCATTTTTAAAGTATAAATCTTCTATTGTTGACCTCACTACAAAACGCAAGACAAATACGTCAGACTATTTTCCAAGGCAGCCTAAGCAGAGGCTCTGTGTTTCATGAAAACCCCTAGTGACAGCATAAGCAGCGTGAGCAATGCAATCATCGCAGCGAGCAGGCTGCGACTGACGCCCCTCTGTCTTCTGGTTTCCTCTCCCCATTTCAGAGCTCACTTTATGAGCTAGGTCTTCTGTAAGCCAAAGCTGTGGGTCACCAGTAAAGCAAAACAAACATGATATTCCAACTGTCACAGTTAGATACAAAATAAATGCTAAAAAATTCATGTTAGTAGCTAATGTTTCCCTTGCTTTAACCACCAAATTGTGCCTAAGAGAGTCCTCAAATACATTTTTAGAAGGAAAGCAGACTTTTTTTAAAGTGTCACACCTTTGCACTTTCTTGCGTTTGTTTACTCAGTTTTTCCAACCGAAACAGCTTTCCATCATTCTCATCTGCCCAGTGAGCTAACTCCCTGGCTCAGATACCACCCCTTTCTTAAAGTCCTCCCACAACCCCAGTCAAGGCGACCCCTCCTCTGGGCCTGGTAAGGCTGCAGTCTCACCAACATGACTTTAGTAAGCTGTCTTGTGCTAATCTACTCTGATCTCTTCTTTGTAGATCATTCTGGAAAGACTCTGTTCCCCCTCTCCATTTCCACCCTGTTTTCTTACTCAGTGTGAAAGTTGTCTCTGCCAAAGATTTCACTTCTTCTCTGAGTTTTCCCCTCCTTTATTCTCTTCTTCCCTTTTCATCCCTCCCCACAACATACACTGGGCTGAGAGTTTATAACTGCCTTGGTCAAGCAACTTTCTAAACTCTTGCTAATGGGCCGGTATCCAATTTATTTCAAGTTCTTTTAGCAAACTTTAAAAACATTAAAATTTCAGAAAACAAAGATGTTTGCTCTTAAAACTTAACTGCACTACTAAATTTGGACAGATTTGCTGGACCGTCATGATCTGATTCCTAATTCTCCCACTCCAATCTCTTACCTGTCTCCCTCTTTCCTTTCTTCCCCTGAATAAAATGTCTTATGCACCCTGGCCGGTTTGGCTCAGCGGTTAGAGCGTTAGCCTGCGGTCTGGAGAGACCGAGTTCGGTTCCCGCTAAGGGCATGTACCTCGGTTGCAGTTTGTCCCTGGCCCTGGTTGGGTCGTGTGGGTGGCGACCACTCGATGTTTCTTTCTCTCTCTCTCTCTCTCTCTCTCTCTCTCTCTCCCCCCCCCTCCCTCCCACTCTATCTGAACAAAAAATATCATAAAAATGTCCTCGGGTAAGGATTAAAAAAAAAAAAGTCTTATGCGCTAGTAATGGAGAATAACTTAGAGTAGCTTAGATATCCCAAATTATCCCAAATTACATCACAGGTTCTACCCTAGGGTGAAATGCATTCACCCTGCCCTATAGCTTCTCAGATAATTTCTCAGCCTTAAGAATCCAGCTCAGATGATACTTTTCCTTCCCTGAATCACCCTCCTGTCCTATTCCAAACTGCCCCCCACACACACACACACACACACAAATCAGGACAAAATATGATCCGCGGTCTCTGTGCCATACCTCTCTGCTCTTCACTCACTGTCGTAGCACAGTTACATGGTTACCTATCTCCCTTCCTCAATTCCATACTTTCAGGGTTCTAGTCGGATTACCATTCTACCTGTCACCTAAAATCATTGCACATGAAGGTATTCCAAATATCTGTTACGTTGCACATTTATTTGATACAGAAAGAAAAAGAGTATTATTATTATCTAAAAACATGCATTTCTCAAGATAGTCATGTTATCTAAATTATAAAGCACAGGTGACCCCTAAACAAAGCAGGAGTTAGGAGTACTCAAAAATCCAAACCTAAGCTGCCATTCCTGTCACCAAACAGATACTTTACTGTAAGATTTACCATCAACTTGACTTCTCTTTAATACAAAGTCTCACCTCTTAGATTTCTGGGATGAATCTGCTTAGTTCGAGGCATCTTCTTTGATTCAAGGGCCCCTTTTTCTTCTTAGAAACTGTTCACCAAAAGGTAGCTCCATAAACGTAATGTCCATCAATTAATCCATGTGCTGAAAAAAAAGGAAAAACGAAAAATCACATTTTACTACCATCAAAGGAAAGACACTTCAAAGGTGATGGCTTAATACAACACTAACCTAAACTCAGTAAAAGGTAACCAAGCTGGAGACTGCTGCAAAAGATTATTTACTAACTTTTAATTAAACACCATTTTGCCAATATCTGGGCTTTCTCATCAAGTAAACAAAAAAAAAAAAAAAAAACACCCACTGTACCTTTATCAAAGAAGAGTGAAAAAATTCACCAAATTGGGTTTTAAAGTAACATTACCAAGTACAATTAAAGTACCTGGCTGTAAAAGGAATATGCTGTATATAGTGTATGTCTGCCCATTCATAAACTCTTTAGGGACAGGGACAATGTCTCACTCATCTTGTTTCACTGAGTTAACTCAGTTAATATATCGTGGTTGCTGTTGTGGATGCTCCCCATTATTCTAGTTCTCCCTTCTGGGCTCATGGTAGGACTGAACTTTCTGCCTCCCTGTGTTTAGCTAAAATGTGTGACCAGTTATGACTATTGACCTGTGAGTAGAAGAGACATGCACTGCTTCCTGGTCAGAGCGTTGTTATAGAAGCAAGATCCTCCAGAGCTCCTTTCCCTCCGCATGGGACAGCCACTATTCTAGACAGTGTGTCTGACATTACAGAGCTGAACGTCCACTAACCCAACATGATCATGTAGCATAAGAGAGAGACCTCTGTTATTTTAAGTCTCTGAGGTTTGAGAGCTGTTTATTACAGCATAACCTAGTCTGTCCTCACTTAGACATTTTAAAGACAATGATCTGAAATATAATATGCCAAGACAGTAATAATCTAAAGTCTAATCATCTCTCTCCCCAAAGCTGCTACCTGGCCTTCTCTTCCACAAGGTCCTCAAGGATCTTTGAGCTAAAATTTTAGTTTTAACTTCCTGCAATATGGCTGATATGTGAAGCCCATAAACATAATTTTTAATCACTAAGCAAAGACCAATAATGAAATAGGAATGCTTTGTTTAAAACTTGTTATAAACTTGTTATATCCTGTGCTGTAGAAGAAACAAGAGAATACTTACTGAGCACCTACTGTGTACTTGTATACTTTCTACATATTACCTAATTTAATCCTAGTAACTGGTAAGGTAGCTATTGTTTATCCACTTTATAGATAAGAAAATTAAGCTGGAGAAAGATTAACTAACGTGTCCATGGTCAGCAACTAAGCAAAGTGACACCACCCGACTCGGTTACTCTCAGTGCCTATTACCTCAGCGGAGATAATACCTATTGTCAGGGTTTTATTAAAGAGACTGTGTAACACAAGTTATGACTATATATTTTAGTGTCAAACTAGACTAGGTTCAAAGCCAGGCTTTAACCCCTTATTGTGTAATCTTGTTCAAGGTACTTAACCTCTCCAAAGATCTGATTTCCCAAACTGCGAAACTCCGGAATAGATCCACCTCATAGGGTGTAAGGACTAAACAATGTGCCACTGCCTGACACACGAAAATACTCAAATATTAATTCTCCTTAAGAAAGCCTATATGGGAGTGACTATAGCTAATAACTCAGGATATGGTTATAGAAATTTATGGTTTCATTGTAACAGAAAACAAATAGAAGAAAGGCTACAATTAACTTCAGTATCTTATCCCTGATATGGCTAAATGTGGGCACTGCCAAAAATATATGCCATTTTTTTAAATGCATGGGGAAGAATATGAAATATGGTGACCCAATACTATGTATGTACTTCATCTAGCACTGTGCTAAATCATCTATAAAATACATGATTTCTCAACTCCCTGCTAGTTAATGACATCCACCATCCAATTCATTAAGCTTCTGATTCAATAGAAAATTTAGAGACATTAGGACCAAATAGATTGTATGTTTAAATACGTTCCTTGTTAAACTTGAAGCTTTTTAAAAAAATAATAATAATAAACGTAAAGCTTTTAAATGGTCACGATATTTGGAAGTTTTAAAGCTAGTACTCCGATTGTAATAGTCACGTGATTCCCATAAGCTGAAGAGCAAAATGTAAAATATGCAAATTCCCAATCAGTAACAGCTTTCTGTTACCCCATTCACTGCCTACCCACTGTCCCTAGCTGTCCATCCCATGTTTAAATCCTTGGGGTTGGGGGGAAGGGACAGTGGGTATTTTCAAAGACTACAGCAGCACTGTAGCGACCAGGACCAGTGACAAATCATTCCTTTACAGGAAAGAAATTTATACCACATGGAGCAAAAACATGACATGATCAAAAAGCGTAAAGACAGTTGCAAGGAGAAAAAACATGAATGAATGTGGAGGGCGGAGCCTGGGAAAACCCCTCTGCAACGCTGCACTGAACAAAGCACTTCGCATGCCAGGAGGGGGGGGGTGGAAGTGCCAGCTCAGGAAGGAGCCCGGAGTGGATGAGCAGAGCAGGAGGACGACGAGATGAGGCGAGCGCGGCAGCCCTGAGACTCCTCCTCGCCGCCAGCTCCGCCAGCGCCCCCTCCCCTCTAGCAGCAACTCCTTCCCCAGCCCGACCCCAAAGGAAGCCTGAAGCGACCCGCGCCTAAACCCACCGCCCCTTCCCAACTGCTGCAGGCGCGTACTCCCAACCCGGAAAGAAACTACCCAGGTGGCTGGCTGGGAGTAAACAGGCACTTAGAGCAAAGAACGAAAGGAAAAGCCACAAAGCCGGGAGGTTGGGAAGCCGAGGCCTGGTTCCCCTCTCCCCCCCACCCGCTTGCAAAATGCGTCTGCGGCTGGAATGCGGGTGGGGAAGCTGGGTCCCTCCGTACCTGCTCAGCTCGCAGGACCGCAGCTCGGGCCGCTCGCGCGCGGCGAGGGCGCCCAGAAGTGGCAAGCGTCTCCCGCACGCAGCCATCCCCTCTGCAAGGTCGGCGGTTGCACACACACGCATACACACACGCGCGCCCGCACGCCCCCCGCCCGCCGGGGGGATGTGGTCCTGCCCACCCCACCGCACCCCGCCGCCCTCCCTGCTGCAGCGCCCTCGCCGCAGACCCGCGCCGAACCTGCTGCCAGGACGCCCGGCGGAGCGGCAGCCGCTGCAGCCGGCCCTGGAGCTGCGCTGCTGATGGCGGCGGCCGGAGCTCGGAATCTCCGCGACCCCCGCGCGGCGGCGGCGGCGGTGGCGCCAGGGATCCCTGCTTCACTTGACAACCCCAAACACAAACATAACCCTCTCCTGCGGCTGCTCCCAGCCCCTGGCTCCGTTCCCCTCCCCGCCGCCGCCGCCGCCGCCGCCCCAGCAGCAGCCACACTAAAGGCCGGCGACTGGCACTCACACCACCCAGCGCTGAAATATTAAACAGGGGAGCTGGCCGGGGGGCGGGGGGGGAGCGCGGAGCGCGCGGGCGCGGGCCGCAAGCGCCGAGCGGGGGAGACGGCCGAGCTCGCCGACGCCCCCGGCCGCGGCATGACCGCCGCCGGAGAGCAGCGTCCCGGAGGCCGGGCGGCGAGGCCGGGGCGCGCACCGCTGCGCGGCGAGACGGGGCGGACGGCCCCCGGGGACCGTGGGACCAGGGGCGAGGAGGGCGGGTGCGGGCTTTACCTCTCCCCCTGGACTGAGTAGGGCACGTTTAGCGTCTTTAGGGGCGACGGGAGAAGCGCGGGCCGGGCGGCGCGGGGGAGGGAGGGCGAAGGTCCGAGGCTTTCCCGTGGGTGGGCGGGGCGGCAGGGGATCCCCGGGGGCGGGAGCGGGGAGGCCGCGGGCTGCGACACGCGGGCGGGGTAGGGGGCGTCCCCTGGTGGGGACTGAGGCCGGAGCTCTGCGGGGGAAGGGCGAGGGTCACCCCGGGTGCTGAGGCCCAGCTGGTCGGGCGTGGCCGCCAGCCAGCCCTGGAGTAGGGGTAGGGTGGGCGCCCCACTCCCGGCTCGGGTGGAGCCCGGAACCCCGGGTCTCCCCAGTGGGGCGGGCCCGAGAACGCGTCTCACCCAGTTGCCCGCCCGCGGCTCCGCCCCGCCGGGCAGCCTCAGGGGGGGCGGAAGGAGGCAGCGGCGCGGCCCGGGGGGGAGGGGCTGGGTTAGGGACTCGAGGGGCGGGAGCCCGGGGTCGCGCTGGCTCTGGGACTGGCGCCCGGCGGGGGCGGAGGGGCGGGCCCGGCCGGTCACGCGGCCCGGGGAAGGCCTAGCCCGGTCGCGCAGTTGGGGCCGGTTGGTTCGAGAAGAGGGGCGGGGACCGGCGGGGCGGTAGTTTCTCTTTACCTTCTCTTTACTTTCTGAAGCAGGATGTGGGCCGGGCCGGTGACGTCATGGGGTCTCCCAGCCCCGCCCCCCGCCAGGGCCGAATGGGGGTGGGGAGGGGAAAGGGGGGCACCCCAAGGGGGTTTCCTCAGCAACGCGCTGAGGGAAGGGGAAAGTCATTGTGAAACTTGAAACTCATTAACTCTGAAAAACAACTTTTAAAAAAACGGGAGGGAGGACGGCTTGTTGGTTTGGAGGGTGGAAGGGGGCATATTATTAACCCTGAACTGAAACCACTTTTTGGTGGCGGCTGTTCTATTAAAAGATTGAGGAAAGCCCAGGTTATTCCAGAGGCCGCTCCAAAGCCCGCTGGTGGTTCCCAGAGCCCGAGCGGCGAGCGCAGTTAACCCCTGCCTGTCCGCCTGACAGCCTGGGGCAGGAGAGGGGTGTTTAAGGTCAAAAAAGCAGGGTGCAGGGCTGGGCAGCCGACCTGCTCCAGGGAAGCAGGAAGAAGAGAAAGGGGGAAAAGGGAGTAATTACCATAAACCAGAGTTTGACCCCAGCTGCTAGAAAGCAACAGAGGAAGTAAGGAGTGGAAATCTATGGAAAAGAAATCAGGAGGGGCTGGACCTGGGTAACGAACGAAGGATTTTCGGGAGATAGACTTAAAGAATGTTAGAAGTTTGGGGTTCAGAAATTCCACATGTGCATCTGAAGAAGCAGGAAAAAGATTGGTTTAGGAGCCACGCTGAATTTGGGAGGAATAAGGTAAAGCAAAAACTTTGATGCAGAAAGATTTCTCAGATTAAACCAAACTGCTTTCCCCTTTTAAGGAACAAAAATGCTAAACGACCGTGTACACCCATTACGCTGGCCATCTGTGCAAACTTGAATTGTTATGTTCCCTGGGGCTTCCATAAAGACGTCTAGGTTTTTCCTTCTAGAGTTCACCCCTATAATTCCCCTGAGGAAATCCTACCTCTAGCTCATTTGAGCTAAGAAAAGCTTAAACGCACAAGAATGGGAATAATTAAAAATGGAATACCCAGTAATAGCGAGCTTGTACCTCCAAATAATGTCATGTAAAGGGGGGAACATGCCTATTAAAAACTAACTTTGGTCATAAGAGCAAAGATCATCCAATAACTGCCTAAATTTGAAATGATGTTTAGCATAATATGCTTCCAACCTTGCAGTGAAATAATGCAATTTTTATTTGCGAAGTGATATAATCATCTCTTATGAAATTTAATGGGTTGCAATCACAAACAGCGTGTAATATAACTTCCCAACTGGGTATTTAAATAGAAAATGAACATTTATTTACTTGTGAAAATATACCTAATCTGTCAGAGGATAAAGATTACGGTAGCTACATTATTAATTCTACTTTGTGTCACTTATAAGTGGAAAAATGCTGACTGTAATTTTAACCCAATGGTTGTTGAACATAACAGAAATACATACTGTAAACAATGTTTGTAAGGGATTTGGTATTGCTGTGAACTTTCTAACAAATTAAAAATGCAATTTTGTCATTTCAATTTGTTAAACAACTTTTTTCTGTCTACTCACAATTTAACTCTTGAGTAATAAATCAACATTAAACTTTTAAATGTATACAAATACCGAACAGTTTCTTATTTTCTATTCATGAGTTAATTTTCTAAATGCAATTTCTTTTTCTAATTCTGCCTCCACTTCTAACTTCCTAGTTTTTCAGAAAGCAAGGAAAGCCAGCTAAACTAGAAGGTAGTTAATTTCGGCTTGTTTTATGGCAAATTTAAATACGGTTTTTCAAATTGTATCTTATAAACGGAGAATGGAGAAAAAAATTTTTTCATAAGATAAATTTACTGACTAGTAAACAGCAGCTTGAACTGCCAAAAATTCTGAAATGGGGGAGATGGCCTTACACTGCAAAAAGTGGGGGCGCCTAGGAGCCCATTTCTGTCTGGCTACATCCCTACTGGCCATGTGAACTCTTTTGGAACCCCACTTCCCTTCGGGGCTGGGGTTCAAGTGAGGGCAGTGTCACTGCGAAGCTCTGCACACATTTTCCTTGCTGAGCAATGTTGGGAGGACTTAAGTCCACCCCGAGGCTTTGTCGCGGGACTCCACCGTCCACCGCGTCCACCGGACTCCGCGCCACCACCGCTACCCGCGCGTCCCCAGCCAGGGTTCCCACGCGGCCGCCCGGCCCGGCCCCGATCCGGCTCCCCCCTGGCGCGGCCCCGCGGCCCCGGCCCTCCGCCCTGCGCGCGGCCCGGCAGCGCCACCGCCACGCGGAGATCCCGGAGGTTCCTCCCCGGCGGCCGCCGGGTCACGCCGCCGCCCGTCCCTCCCCTCCGCCCTCCGCCCTCCGCGCGCGCTGGGCTTTCCTGTCCACCGGCTGAATCTCCTCCTCCTCGGGGCGACCCCGCGACAAAACCTTCCTCACATACCCTGCCAGCACTGCCCGACGCCCGGGCTCTTCCCCAGCCAGACGCCAGACAAAAGAACCATGAGAAAACTTACCCGAACTGCAACGCAAAAGTCTGATCCACTGCTTCCTGGGTTTAACTTTTAATTTTAAAAACAACAAAAGCAGAAACCAAAAGCCTCCTAGGTTGGAAGTGGGCGTGAGAGGAAATGCTAGGGGGAGGCGCTTGGTTTCCTCGGCTGCTTTTGCCCCCCTCCCCCTCCTTTTCTGGCCCCTGCCTCCGGCTTTGATGTTATCTATTGCACCGCCTACGTGGGTTTATACCGTGGGCTCTGCGCCGAGAATGATACACAGATATTTGGCACTTTCTATGCTGGTTTGAAGAGAAGGAAGCAGGTGGTCACAGTCAAGGATCCTCACTTCTTAGCCCCACAGTGAGAAAGGAGCATTTGCCCTGTCTTCCCATTGTTACCTGCACCGAAATGAACAATCCACCTATCTGGTAGTATTCCTGGAGACTTTATTTCCCTCCACTTCAGCACAGACTCAGAACAAGGTAGTATTGTATGTTTTCTGAGGCTTTGGTTTTTAGATATCAATTTTGAGAGTAAATGTTTCCCTCCTTAGAGAGACCTGCGGCCTTGAAGAGACAAGAATATACCTCTGAAGGAAATAAACTCCATAATAACATGCTTTTCATATACCATTCCTATAGGTCAGAATATCCAGCACCCTCCCCCTCACATTATGGAAAGCTTGTAACTGTTGATTTTATCTTAGCTAACTGGACACTTGCAGAAACTGGATATATTTCTACATTAGATTAGCAGTCTCAGAACCATCACAAACAAAGCAGTAACAAAGGGTGCTTTTTTTTTTTTTTTTTTTAAGCTGATTAGTAATCAAGAAGGATTGCACAGTCTACCATTCAGCTCTAACTATTCATCCACTTTATGCCAACACCAGCCTGCATTCAGGCCTTGCCCTCTGGGAGTTTACAAGTTAATGGAGACAGGATAAACACATGGAAAAGTACCTAGAGGGAAAAAAGATACAAGAAGCTTATAAACAGAGCCAATTAAAGTTATACAGAGTTATTTACATGATTGCTGCGAGCTCTCTGGATTGGGTGGAGAGCAGGATTATGAGAGAAAGTTCCATCCTGAGGTTGAGTTCTAAGTAGGATTTTGAAGGAACATTCATGATTTGGCAATAGTATGAGAACAGCATTCCAGGCGAGGAAAATAGCTTGATGGTAAGAGCAAGTAAACTATGTGTGATGATTTTTCTGGCTAGAGTGGAAAGTCAAAACAAATGTGAAAAAAGTAGGGTGACCATATAAGTGTGGCATCCAAACTGGACACGTTTGAGAGGAAAAAGGGAATTGTTTAATCACTATACCTAGATGAGAGACACACACCTGGACTGTCCTAGGCAAACAGGAAGGGTGGGTTCTCTAGCAATGAGCTATGAAGACAGAATGGGGAGGCAACAGGCAACCGGGGGGAAAAGGAAGGAATTAAGATAGAATTAAGGAAGGAATTAAGATGTGATACTGCAAATACAGCCATACTTCCTTTTATCACATTTTGCAGATACTGTCTTTTCATCAGCATCGAGGCAAGACCCTCCAGTAGCACAAAGATTGCGTACCAGTGAAGGCTCAGATGATGGTTAGCATTTTTGAGCAATAAAGTATGTTTTAAATAAGGTATGTATATTTTTTAGACATAATGCTATTGCACACTTAGCAGACTACGGTATAGTGTAAACATAACTTTATATGGACTGGAAACCAAAAAATTTGTGTGAGTTGCTTGGTTGCAATATTCACTTTATTGAGGTGGCCTGGAATGGAACTTGAAATGTCTCTGAGGTATGCGTATACTTGGTAGTCATTTGGAGACATGTGGACTGAGAATGATTTTTTTAAGGAAAATTATTGTTACTGATAGATTTAGGATCTTCATCGTAGTACTTTTATTGGCAGTAGTAGTAATAGTACCATGGGTATTACCAGAAGTGGTAATGGTAGCAGTAGAGGTAGTGGTAGTAATTGACAGTTATTGAGACTGTATGATTTGCCAAGCTTTCCTATATAAATTTATGTAATCCCCACTATAAAACCATACCACAGGTGAAAGAGAGGTTTAGAAATGCTAAATAATCTGCCTGCAGCTACAGAGCTAGTAAACAGTAGTTCCATGCTGGGAAACCAAAGAATATGGAGATGCTCAAAGCTTAAAGATTATATTTTATGAAAAATATTACAGTATCTCTCTAACATTCTATATCTGTGGAGCACAGAAGAAAAATGAAGGAAAGAAAAGTTCATAGTTTCAAGTTTGAGAACTTGGTAGATTTGTGATAAAAATAGAAAAGTTGGGATAGTGTGATGCTTGAGGGTTAAGAAAGACAGTTTAATTCACATTTATGCCAATGTTGATATTACTAACCTTACAGGTTAGCCAATCTGTGGAAACTGGTTCCTAACTTTCTTTAAAAGTTCTATGCCAACTAATAATATACTTTAATGAGTATTATTTTGTGTATTACCTGTTAGAGGTGAAAGATTGATAGAAGCAATGCTTGCAGTTCCTAAGGGGCAACAGAGTTCAACTAAAACAATCCAGCATTATCCATGATCTAACAACGTGGAAACAAGCAAGTTCAACAATCTAAGACACAGTATTAGTTGGCTCAGGCTGTCATAACAAAGTACCATAGACTAGGTGACTCCACAATAGAAATTTATTTCCTCACAGATCTGGAAGCTGGAAATCCAAGATCAAGGTTTAGCTGATTTGGTTTCTGGTGAGAACGCTCTTCCTGACTTGCAGCTGGCCAGCCCCTCCTCACCATGTCGTCACATGGTCTTTCCTCCAGGTGTGCCCACACAGACAGCAAGCGAGCTCTCTGGTGTCTCTTCTTAGACACGTATCCTATGGAATTAGGGTACCACCCTTATGATTTCATTTAACTTAATTACTTCCTCAAGACCCTATTTCCAAATACAGTCAAATTGAGGGTAAGGCTGCCACATATGAATTTGGGGGTCAGGGTAGGGACACAATTCAATCTACAGCAGACAAGAGTATGTTTACATAGAAATGCAGAGTGAACTAATACCAGCCTAGGAAGAAGCCTTGTCAGGTGCCTGTAGATGAAATAAGTTACCATGGGCTTTGAGCTCAGACACACCTGGGTTTCAGTTAGAGGACACTCATGACTGTGGGAAAGGTCACTCCCACCTCTTTAAGCCTCAGTACATCCCTTTTAGGGGTGAACAGAGGACTGAGTGAAATACTAGATGAAAATGCTTGGGAGTGACTGAGTGCTTAATGAGTGGTAACTACTATTAGAACTCTCATTACTATTTTAATAATGCTGCTGCATAAAAAGAATTGGGAAGCTATACATTAGACTGCAATCTTTTTTATCCAAACGAAACCTGCTGGGGCATGCTTAATTTGATTTTAGCATACCCTCAGTGGGCCAAAAGGACTCCATTCTAGTCTCTTAGTTCCAGGAAGAATTACTCCTAAATAACTCTTAAAACGTTATTGTGTACTCTACTTTTGAACATTTCTAGTAAAATAGTTCTCAGACCTCTTGTGGAAAATTGTTTTGTTTTTTGCAGCTTTACTGAATTATAAATATAGCCACGTTAATGGTTTCCAAAGGATTTAAAGGTCTGGTTTTCCCTTGTGTATTCACAATCCGAACATATGTAAATTAATGTTCTCTGTCCATCCTCTGAAAGTGTGCATATTACTTCCCCTACCCCATACTCTCTGTCTCATCACTCCATTGCTCTCCTTTATAAAATCTAACATTTTGAAATTAGCTCTCAGTCCTCAGGTAAATATGAAGGCTGTGAGTAACAGGAGCTTGATGTGTTCCCCACTGAATCCCCGGCACCTGGAACAATGTCACAATAAATGTTTGTTGAGCAAATGAAGGAGAAGACCTTCTTTACAAGTGAGTGCAGTCCTGCTAGTTGCTTTCAGATCCTGCTTTTTCGTGCCCAGGACTTGCTCTCAAAATGGCCCCAAACTACTCTGGCTGGTGTGGCTCAGTTGTTTGAGCTTCAACCCTTGCACTGAAAAGTCCCTGGTGAGATCCCCAGTCAGGACACATGCCCAGGTTTTCAGTTCAGTCCCCGGTCAGGGTGGGTACCAGAGGCAACCAATCGATGCTTCTGTCTCACAATGATGTTTCTCTCTCTCTCTCCCTTCCTCTCTCCCTCTAAAAAAAAAAAATCAATGAAGAAAAACTCAGTTTAAAAATTGGCCCCAAACGAATAGCTTTGTTGTAGCCTGAGCCCTGCTAATCTTTCAGCTTAGTTACCAAGGCTTTCATGCCAACTTTAGTGTTTTCTTACTTTTGCATTTTGATTTAAACAACTTGGACTGTTTAATCTCTGGACTTGATGTTATATAATATGGTTAAAAGGGACCTGCTTGCCCAGTTGGTGTGGCTCAGTGGTTGAGGGTCAACCCATGCACCAGGAGGTCCGCCAGTTCGATTCCCGGTGAGGACACATGCCCAGGTTGTGGGCCAGATCCCCAGTGCGGGGCATGCAGGAGGCAGCCAGTAGATGTTCTCTCTCATCAATGTTTCTATCTCTCTCTCCTTCTCCCTCTCTCTCTCAAATCAATAAAGGAAAAAAAAAATTTTTTTTTAAAGGGACCTGCTTATCTCATAGACGAGGAAACTAAAATAAGAAGTGGTCATGTGTGTTATACAATGTCACCAAACTGGCTGCTGGCAGAGCTTGATAGGACAACTCTCTTTCTTCCTGCTCCCAAATCCTTTTCCTTTTGTATCCTTCCTTGAATCTCAACCACAGAGCACAGAGATTGCGTGCTTTTAATATGCATTCCTAGATTTTTTTTTTATCCTCATCTGAGGACATTTTTCCATTTTTGGTTCAGATAGAATGGGAGGGAGAGGGAGAGAGAGAGAGAAACATCGACGTGAAAGGGACACATCGAGTGGCTGTCTCCCGCACAACCTATCCAGGGCCAGGGACAAACTGCAACCACGGTACATGCCCTTAGTGGGAACCGAACCCGGGTATCTCTGGACCGCAGGCCAATGCTCTAACCACCAGCCAGGGCTAGATTTTTTTAAAAATTGTTTCTCCTCTGAGGGAGCAAGAGAGAGACTGATGTGAGACAGAAACATTGATCAGT